TATATATGAATATATAAAAAATATATCAAAATGCGTGTGGGTACTCAAATGAAAGCTCTTGATGAGTGTAACATCAGGATGAGCTTATATAGTAAAAAATGTCAATAATTAAGAAATTACCTTGTATCTTGTGAACTTGACATTTTTAAAGATATAAGCTCATCCCAATGTTACACTCATTATGACCTTTCATTTGAATACCCACATCGATTTTTCATATATTTATATATATTATATATATGTATATATAAAAAATATATCAAAATGCATGTGGGTACTTAAATGAAAGCTCTTGATGAATGTAACATCGGAATGAGCTTATATCATTGAAAACGTCAATCGGTAAAAAAATACAGTGCAATTTAACAAAAATCATTATTTAACAAAGCAAAATTTTATTTATTTATAATTCACAAGTCACGGAAGTCACATAGTGACTACAAAGTTTCTAGTAATAATAATAATAAAATTTTCTAAAAATTCTTTATAATTATTGCTAAAAATTTTTTTTTTAAAACTTTGTCTCAAAAAATTGTGAAATAATAACATTCAGATAAAAAATTTTAAAAAACCAACCTCGCCATTAATAAATCCCTGAGACTTTCCTTTAGTCAAAGTGTCCATCATAGCTTTATTATTCTGTAAATCCTCTTCACTGAGATGCTCGCGTCTCTTGCGACTCTCCAGTACCATTCCATTAATCTGATAAAAGTCAGCATTGAAAGGACCAACCATCTCGCGTTTGTCTGCGCGGAAAATCCACCCGGTTTGAGCGCGAACAAAAGTTATATTTTTGGTGGACATTTGCGCGGCCATAATATCGCTGGACATCAAAACGTCCACTTCATCTTCAATTTCGAGCTCCGTCTCTTCATAGCGGACACGTTGGTACAGCTTGGCTTTATTGTCGAGTACCGTCAGAGACTTGCCGGGTTTCTGGTCACCATTAAAGATAAATGATATGTCGCCTCGTTCCCATCTCATGTCATTGAAGTCCACCAGGGTTGTGTCCATGCGGATTGACGCGCCGCTTTTGTGGATTCGGCAGATGTCCGAGGGCAGGATTCGGGACACCAAAGGTACCCAGCTTTGAAAATCCCACTTTAATTCCATGTAGAAGTCCCCCATTTTGTGTAATGCCGACACCAGGTCCGGTCGCCTTTCTTCCATTTGCTCCCGGGCTTGCTGCTTTAATTTTCTTACTAAAGAAGATATTGTTTGACGGTCCCCGTAGCTTATCGCTTCGGCTAAGGGACTCCAGCCTGCAAGATTTTTTACCTTCAGTGGCGCTCCGTGGGCGAGCAGTAATTGGATGCATTCTTTACGGCCTAGCATTACTGCTAAATGCAACGGGGTGTTCCCTGTTTAAAAAAATTTATTTTATTAATTTTTTTGGGTTTAATATAACAATAATAATAATTATTATTATTATAATAATAAATAGAGTTGTTGTTAGGTGAATAATTTTAGTATCATTAAAAAAAATCCCAAAAAAATAGACCCGAGAAAATTTTAAATTCATTAAAATTATTATAGAATAAAAATAGATTTTTTTTTGTAACAAAAAATAGAGCGATCATTCTGGAGCCACTTGTTTTTCAGGAAAATTATGAGAGTGGATATTATAATTCTTATTTTATAATAATTTTAATAAAATAATATGAACTAGTAACCTTGCAGTCACTATGAGACTGCCAGGACTTGTGAACTATAAATGAATAAAATTTTGCTTAATTAAATAATGACTTTTGTTAAATTGCACTGTTCTTTTTTAACTATTGACGTTTTTAAAGATATAAGCTCATCCCAATGTTACATTCATCAAGAGCTTTCATTTGAGTACCCACATGCATTTTTGATATATAAATATATAAAATATATGAAAAATTGATGTGGGTATTCAAATGAAGAGTCTCGATGAATGGAATGTCGGGATGAGCTTATATCTTTAAAAATGTCAATATTTCACAAGATACAAGGTCATTTCTTAATTATGCACCTAGAGATATATGAAACCTTGAAAAGGCACAAATTTAAGTCAAGACCTTTCTAATAATACCAAATTTAACCATAAAAACCCATTTTGTCATATAAATACACTGGCCAAAAAATTTTTCTTATTCTCTTAATAATATATATTTTTCATAACTTTAGAATTTTTTCCGGTCTATTTTTTCTGATTACCCATTAAAAATAATCTTTTTTTAAAACGAAACTTTGGTTTTTCATCATCAAACGATTAAAGATGACGACATAGATATTTTTAATTCAGCTTGACTTGTGACCATAAAAAAAAATGTAAATACAAAATTTACGAAACTCTAGAATATAAATATAATTTCCATGAAAATTAAGTTAGCCGTTTGAAAAAAACTTGTTTATTAATTTTTAAGAAAAAATTTAATGTAGAAGATTAATAAAAATTGTTAAATATTTTTTTACTTATAATTTTCATTGATGAAAAAAAAATTCATACTAATTTTAGTATCATTAATTTCTTCATCATCATTATTATTATTATAAAAATGTCGAAATTATTTCCAGAACCTAAAAGATCATTTTGTAAAAACAAAATTATTACTAATACTTTTAATAATTAAATTAATAATGAACAAGAAACAGCAGATGTCTGATAACTTTTAAATGAATATAATTAGTTTATTAACAAAATAATAATTGTCTTGATAAATTTATTTAATTTAGATGAGAATTATTTTGAAATAATTCCAGACCTAATGTAAGTTTGCTTGCCCAAGTTTTATTTGTCCTGCAATCTCAATAATAGTAAAATTATTAACGAAGATAACAATTATTGTCAAACTAATATAAATAAAAATTGCCGTACATCTGCTAGTTTTTTGTTTAAATAATTACCATGTTTATCTTTTTCAGCAATATTATGCGTCCTTATTAAAGTACTAAGTAATTGAATGTCACCTTGGAAAATACACTTGTGAATAGGATAATCCATTTTCAATAAATAATAATCTTGATTGTGTCTTATCCAATCATCCCAACAAACTTGTTTAATATTTCAACTTATCTATCTTGGTATTTAAGTACCTAATTTTGACAATATAGTTCATTAACACGTTGATCTAGTTTCATCACTCAATTAATAATTAAATTTGTATATTGTACTCATAAATAATTAATGAACCAACTAAATACATTTAACTGTAACAATAAAATAATATAGACTTATAAAATACTAACAAATTTTTATATTGTATAAGTTATATATGTATATGCAATAATAAATAATTTGTTTTGGTTGATAAAACCAAGTTGGTGTACACTCCACAAATAAGGTCTTACGTGTGTGTTCTTATTTCTCAAACTAAAACTCTAGCAACGATGACTTGACGGTTATAATAATAACCGTATTATATATTTCAACACACTTTCATTTATTAACTATTATTGTTATTGTTATTATTTTATTATAGTTATTGTGCGTAGGTACACGATAATATTTTGTAGAAAAAAAAAAGAAGTGTCAGTGGTCAATGTCACAACTTGAGTTTCGCCATTTTCGGATTTCATATGTGCCTATACATGTTTTTTTCTAAGTCTTTTTTTTGTTAGAAAACTGTACTACCATCTGTTGCTAAGTTGACAGCTGTTATTATTATTATTATTATTATTTTTATTATGATTATTTCTTTCAACATTTTCAAAAATTTATTTTAATTAGTTTATCAAGTCACTGCTAGGCGGTGTCTTGGCGCTTTTTCTTCTCGCTTGTAGAAATTTTTTGTGAAGTTTATAAATTATAAGACCCAGTTATTGATACCTGCAATTTTATTTTAATTAAAAAAGAAACAAATCAACTCTATAGTAAATTAATAGATATAATTTTTGAATTATAAATTTTAAAATAATTATTATTTCAAGAACATTTTATTTTTTTAATTAGAATAAAATTGCAAATGTCAAACTACTGGGCCAGTCTACCAGTCTCAATAACTGGGTCTTTTACTTTATTATTATTTCTATCAACATTTTCAAAAAATTAATTTTAACTAGTTCATCAAGTCGCCACCAGGCGGTGGCTTGGCGCGTTTTCTTCTCGCTTGTAGAAATTTCTTGTGAAGCTTATATTATTATTATTTCTATTAACATTTTCAAAAATCGATTTATAATTAGTTCATCAATTCGCCATCAGGAGATGCAATGGCGCTTTTTCTTCTCACTTGTAGAAATTTTCTGTGAAGCTTTTATCATTATTATTTTTACCAAAATTTTTAAAAATCAATTTTTAACTAGTTTATCATAGACACCGCCAGGAGGCGCTATGGCGCTTTTTCTTCTCGTTTGCAGAAATTTTTTGTGAAGTTTATTTTATTATTTCTATCAACATGTTCAAAAATCAATTTTTAATTAACTTATTAAGTCACCGCCAGGTTGCGCAGCGGCGCTTTTTCCTCTCACTTGCAGAAATTATTTGTGAAGTTTATATTATTATTATTATTATTATTATTAAATTTTTTTCATGACATGAATAGAATAAAAAAAAAACAATAATAAAAAATACGTGTATCAATTAACATGATTCTATTTACAATTAATGTTATTCGGAGAATTATCTTCTCTAATTATGAATTAAGTTTTATCTTTTACTAAACTTTCCAGCTTAATAACTATAAAAAATTCATTAGTAATTAATTACTTCAGTATATAAGATATATTATCATACTTGTTACCTTGAAAATAGTATATTAATATTAAACAGGTCACATAAAAAAATTAGTTTTAATAAAACAAAATAAGAAGAACATTAAAACAGTGAAGATGATGTTAATAATAAGTATAATCAACACTTTTCAATTGAAAAAAGCAGTGAAAAATGAAAACGCAGAAAAAGTTACGAAGATAATAACTAAATACGGTGTTCCTGACATTTTCTTCAGAAGAAATAACAAAGATGATATCAATCAGTAACTTTGCTTTGCAACTTATGAAAATTTGTCCGAAGTTACTAAACAAATTCTCACGAATAAGAATTTTAGTAGAAAAAAAAATTACAACTTTTCAAAAGTCCTAAGAATTACAATAAAAAATGACAATTTGAAGATGATAAGAATGGTTTTGAACAAAGTAATCACCGAAAACTTGGAAGTAGCCGAGTATCCGATGCTTCTAGTGATCGCAATAAAGAAGAATAATTTACAAATGGCGGAACTTTTTATAAAATACGGAACTGTGATCAATCCTAATGGACTTAAAGATGATTTTTTGTTGACTTATGCTGTAGAAAATCGGCAATTAAGCATGGTGAGACTGCTGTTAGACAACGGAGCTGCTATGAAGAATGACATTTCTAAAATGTTCTGCAATTTGCTACATTTAGCACTTTGTTACAATTGCAACAGTGAAGTAATTGAATTGTTACTAACTTATATTACAGGAACGATCAAATAAATATGAAGAATAAAAATGGCGATACTGCTTTATTAAGAGCTGTAGTGTTAAACAAAAACACAAAAACGATCAATATTCTTCTTGAAAATGGCGCGGATATAAACGCGCCTAATTATGACGGACAGACTTCTCTAGATTTTCTAGTGAAGCGATTGGCAGTTTCGAGTTTTTCTTCTTACAAAGAAATTTTTAAGACCGCTAAAGTTATCATTGAGCATATTGCTAAAATGAAGGCTTTGAATCTTCATGTTTCGGAACATAATTTGTCTTTAATTTATTTGAGAGACGATATGAGCAATTATTTAAAACAATGCGAAAAAGAAATTTTATTGATAAAATCTCGCAAGGTTGAAAAGACAAGGATTTTATATTTTGATATTCTGGGGAAGAGTATAATCAATTTGACTAAATTTTCTGGGAATAAAAGGGTGATTAGGTATTTTTAATGGTGAAGATTTGAAGGTTAGATTTCCGATCTATGCGATGGCTATGAAGAAAAGAGTGTGAGAGAAGCATTGGAACTTAAAAGTGATGCTGAGAAATGTGTTTTAAACTTGCCAGTTTTACCTGGGTATTGTTTTGATAATATTTTTCAGTATTGTACTAAGTATGATTTGAGAAATTTATCTAAAATATGTGACTCGAATTTTTAGGTTAGAAGTTTAGAAATAATTTGTAGATATCAAAGTAGAAGCTTAAAATTTGGAATTGTTGTTGTTTTTTTTTTAGATTTATGCAATAAAATAATCATTTTTATTAAGTGTAATTAAAAAATTACATTTGAAAATTTTTAAGAAAAATTAAATATAAATTATAATTTTTAAGATAGATTATATTTTTTAAATACAAAGAAGAAATCTATTAACATTTTAAATAAGATTAATTATTGGAATAGAAAATAAATTAATTATGATTTTTGTAAGATGTGTGTTACAAAATTATATAATAAATTAAATATTACAATAATGATGAATAAGAAAAATTTAAGATAATAGAGTAAACAAATAAAATAAAATAAAGAAGAAAAACATTTATTTTTTTAAATAAAAATCGAATAATTACACAAAATGATATTTTTTAATTATAAAATAATTTTTAAAAATAAATTATATATTCTTCCCATATAAAAAATTGATTATTTATAAAAAAAAACTTGTTATGAAATATGATAAAGTTTTAAGTTTTTTTTTTTATAAGGAAAAAAAACGTCAAAATTTTATTTAAATCAAATATTTCTTTTTAGCGCCCTCAGAGGGCGCGTAATTGAAATTCTATTATTTGTCATAGTGTGAAAATTAATGAAAATTTTATTATCAATAAAAATATATACTACTTTATTATTATTTATATGTGTACTTGAAATAAGTCAGTAATTTAATAATATTCATGAAAGTATAAATTAATAATAATAATAAGTTTCAACAAAAAGATTAACCATGAATGTGCTGAGATCAAGTTGTCAATTTGTAATTAAATTACAAAGTGTTAATGCCGCAAATACAGGTTAGAAAATAAAACTTTGTTTATTAATTAAAAATACTTAACAAATTTAATTATTATTTATAATATTATAATAATACAGATAATAATTGAAGAAATTTTAGAAAATACTAATCATAGATTTAAATAATTTAAAACTTGTATTTTATTAATTAAAATTTTTATTAAAAAAATATGACGATAAAATCAGCCAACATTTAAAAATTTTTAGAATTTCTTTTATTGAAAAAATTAATTTAAAAAATTTCACGTGTAGAAAGTTTTAAAAATTATACGTGCAATTTTTTTTTTGTTCTAATTTAATTGATGAAAAAAAATCTAAAATTGTTAAACGTCGGTTGATTTTAATATCATTAAAAAAATAAAGTTAAAATTAATTTTAATATCATTAAAAAATTGTCACTAATAAAAAAAAAACTTTTCAGGAAAAAGGTACATTCGTCGGTGGTATGGTCCTTTTCTTAGAGAAGTAACTCGCCGTAAAGAAAAGGCGGGACCTCAGAAAGAACAACCAAGGTCCGGATTCCTCGAGTGGAACTTTGAATCCGAAATTTACGCCTTCAACCAGCGACTGTCAGAAAAGTTTAATCTGGAGATCCTGTCACAGGCTTTCACACACAACTCGTATATTCTGCAAGAAGAACGTAAGCAGCGAGAAGTGGGTATTGATGACCCGCAGCTGAACCTTTATGACAACAGGAGTCTTATTCAAAATGGGAAAGCTCTGACGGAAAAAACTGTCGAAGCTTACTTGGGTTTTGCCATGCCCCGTACGCCTACCGAATGCATCAGGTATATTTATATCATTAATTAATAATTAGTTTTCTTTATTTTGCATTAATTAAAATTATTGTTTTAATTTTTTTAGAGCTTTCAAGGAGTATTTACTATCTGAAGAAGTTTTGGCAAACAGAGCACTACTTCTAGGATGCAAAGATATTATTTTAGCAGAGGTTTTTATCAAATTTTTATAAAAATTAAGTTAGCCGACATTTAAAAATTTTTAGAATACTTTTTTATTGAAAAAATCATTACAAAAAAATTTTAACTTATAAAAAATTAAATTATAATAATAGCTTGTTTTTAATTGTGTAGTTTTAATGAAACTTTTGAAGATCTTCCAAAAATTTAGTTCTTATTAAAATTAAATTTTTTTTTTTAAATTAAAAATTTTTTTTTTTTTAAATTCAATAAGTATAAATGTGATTAAAAAAAAAAAAAAAAAATTTTATAAGTAAAAGACCCCATTAGTAGCACCTTTAAGTCCCTATTAGTGGCACTTTTTCTTTCAATAAAAAAATATTCTACTTTGAATAAAAATTAAAAATTTTTTTGATCAAACGTCTTAAAGATTAGAAATAATATACATGATTAAAATTAATGAATTCATTAATTAAATAAGTAGAAAAATCAAAGAAAGTGTCAGTAATGGGATCCCCGCCACTAATGGAGTCTTTTAACTTAGTTATTATATTATTATTATTATGAAATCAACATATACTTAACAATTTTTTGGTTTTTTTTCTTTAATTAAATTAAAACTTAAAAAATTGCACTTATAGTTTTTCAATTTTTTTACAAATTGAAATTTTTATTTTTTTTGTAACAACTTTTTAAATAAAAAAAAAAAATTCATTTGTAAAAAATTTGAAAAACTGTAAGTGCAATTTAAAAAAATATTTTTTAGTTCTAAATTAATAAATAAAACTAAAATCTAAAAATTAAAAAAGTTGGCTAACTTTAATAATATTAAATTTTTTTCTATTTTTGACTTTTAAAAATTCATATTAAATTATTATGATTATTATTATTTTATTATTATTAATTTTGTTATTATAATAGGAATATCCTCCTTCAAACGAGACGTTAGCAAACACATTCTATGCATTAGTAGGAGCACTTGCTAAGAGTACCAATGAAATACACACAGCTAAATTCATCCGTGACTTTTTAATCACAACACTTGCCGAGAAAGATCTCAATGAGATTTTCTGTCCAGAAAATCCTCTAGAAATTCTAAACCAGATACTCACCAACGAGGGTAAGGAACATGTGGAACCACGAATACTTGCCCAGTCTGGAGTTAATACTCTTATGCCAGTCTACAGAATCGGTCTATATTCAAACAAACAATTGATTTCTTCAGGTAATTTTTTTATATTCATAATTTATTTTTATTTATATTTTAGTAAGTACAAAAAAAATAAATATTTGAACTATAATTTTCCAGGTACTGAAAGTACGATCGAAGATGCAATCAAAGTAGCGGCTCTTATTGCCTTGAGCAAAATGTTTGGCTTCGCAGACTCGAGTTACCCGATGAAATTTAACTTGGAAATCGATCCTTCAGAGCATCCAAGAAACCTGCCGATTCATGAGTGGTGTACACAAAATGTTCAGAAGCTCATGCAGAAAAATTAGAATTTATTTTAAGATTGCATTTTTATATTGTTGATTATTAATTAATAATAAATCAGCTTGTCTGGTATATTTAGATTGATAGAATTTATTTTAAAATAATCTATTAATAAGACAATAACACAAATTTTGTGTCCAGGGTATTCATATTATAAAATCGGTTTTTTTAATAAAATTTAGTGTCATTGCAAAGGTCTTGATTCGAAAATGGTCTATCTCTAGATACATAATTAAGAAATTACCTTGTATCTTAGGTACTATTGACATTTTTAAAGATATAAGCTCATCCCGATGTTATACTCATCAAGACCTTTC